CGCGTTCCAGCTGAAGGTCTTCTGGGTAGTCCAGGTCCCTGGGGCCCACACTTAGTTTAAGAACCCTTGGGGTCTAGGGTTTAGGGTTTAGGGTTTAGGGGTACATGTGTGGGCCCCCTAGTTCTAAATAGGGTTTTCAGGGCCTTAAACTGGGTTATAAGTACTATTTGCACTATAATTCCTGAACTCAAGTTAGTATAGTAAGGGGTCACCTACTTGTATTTTACGGACCCAAAACCGACTTTTCGGTAGGTTACCTACGGATCCAAAGAACAATCTACAAACATCCCCAACCCTAAGCCCTAAACCCTAAACCCTAAACCCTAAACCCTCAACCCCAAACCTGTAGGTTTTCGGCTAGGATTTAGGGCTCCAGGCTTCAGGGTTTACACCGGGGGCTTACGATCAAGGGACCCCCTAAAATCATCCCCAGATAGTACGGTTCCGGGGTTCCCCTATGATAAGGACCCCAAGAAGGTACCCCTAACCTTGGAAACCCTAAACCCTAAACCCTAAACCCTAAACCCTAAACCCTAAACCCTAAACCCTAAACCCTAAAAAATCTGTTATCGGCCAAGGTTTTGGGCTCGTCTGGGCTGGCCTGGCGACTTCATCCACATTGCTGAGGACGAAGGGCAAGGAAAGTAAGATACGACTGTACTCAGCACCTGAAACGAAACTAAACCCTAAACCCTAAACCCTAAACCCTAAACCCCGAGCTTCCCGAAACCCTCAAACAAAGTGCCACCGCGCCCGGGGCCGATACGTCTCGTGCCAGGGACCCCGCTCCTGGGCGCCCGAAAATATGGGTGCTTTGGGTGTTTAGGGCTTCAGGGCTTTAGGGCTTTAGGGCATATAGGGCATATAGGGCATATAGGGTTTATGGAGGTTTATAGGGGTTTATAGGGGCTTATAGGGGCTTATAGGGGTTTAGAGGGGTCATAGGGGTTTATAGGGTTTAGAGGGGGTTTATAGGGGTTTAGAGGGGTTTATAGGGGTTTATAGGGCTTTATAGGGGTTTATAGGGTTTATAGGGGTTTATAGGGGTTTTTAGGGGTTTATAGGGTTTATAGGGGTTTATAGGGGTTTAGGGTTTAGGGTCTCTTGGGTTCTGGGCTTTGGGTCTGGGACCTTGGGTGTCGGATGCGGCTCAAGGGCTTGAGGTTAGAGATTTTGGGCCCAGAGTTGGGGGGGGGGGGGCGGTTTAGGGTTTAGGGTTTAGGGGTTTAGGGTTTAGGGTTTAGGGTTTAGGGTTTAGGGTTTAGGGTTTAGGGTTTAGGGTTTAGGGTTTAGGGTTTAGGGTTTAGGGTTTAGGGTTTAGGGTTAGTTTAGGGTTTAGGGTTTAGGGTTTAGGGTTTAGGGTTTAGGGTTTAGGGTTTAGGGTTTAGGGTTTAGGGTTTAGGGTTTAGGGTTTAGGGTTTAGGGTTTAGGGCTTGCTTGTGCCAATGCAAACGATCGGCGCCTGCGCGGGGATTGTCAGGAAACAGCTGCCGTGGGGCTTAGGTTTGAGGGATGTGTGGCTTCATGTTGCGCCGCGCATGACGCGGGGTATGTTCTGCTTCGCAACGGGAGGACTTGGACTGCAAAGCGCGCGTTTCACGCAGGCCCCAGGCTTCTCGAACGATTGTTTCCCGAGGGATACATAGAGTGGTATGTGGGATCATACCCGAAACCTGAACCCTAAACCCTAAACCCTAAAAGCATGCAGGCTCAAACTTTGAACTTGTCTCCTCTTACCGGCCTCGACGAGAAGTAGGGCTCCAAAATGCGGTTTCGGCGGTTTCTGGCTTAGCAGGGCGGCCTTTACACCCTTTGAAAGATATGTATATACAGGGCCCCTGAAAAAACAACTTAGGAAGGAAAATATGAAATATCCGAAAAGCCAACCTAGTTACAGGGGGTAAGGGCCACCATGTACCTAAACAGGGAATACTTGGGCCTTAAAGTACTTCCGATATAGGGACTTCAGGGCCCAAGTATACCATAACGAGGTACCTCCGTAATGGAAACTGCACGTCTTCGAGGGCACTGCGCCGGGCACCCGGCAATGCGGCCCTGAATCACATCCTCATCGCCCGCGCTGGCATCGATGACCTCTGCAGCCGCTTGGGAATCTGCTGGGGGGGGGGGGGGGGGGAAGTCCTAATCCCTAATCCCTAAACCCTAAACCCTAAATTCCCTGAGGGTGCGTGTGAGAGGTCTGCAATGTCTAGCCAACCCAAAACCTCAACATCGGAAGACCTGAGACCCTTCAGCCACAAAAAGTGCAAGGGTTGAGGCTTCAGTCCTTCGGGGGTTGAACCTATATCAAGATCCCTAAACCCTAAACCCTAAACCCTAAACCCTAAACCCTAAACCCTAAACCCTAAACCCTAAACCCTAAACCCTAAACCCTAAACCCTAAACCCTAAACCCTAAACCCTAAACCCTAAACCCTTTGGGACCTCATTGAGATGGGCCTCCACATGGGGTTTCCGAAAATAAGAGTGCCTCATTGGAGCCCTTCTGGTTCAGGAAATCCTACCATTTGGGGGGGGGGGGGTCTGTATTCAAGGTCCCTTCTTCTCATAGACCTCCAGATTCAACTTTGAGACGCTCGTGGAAATTGAGCCGAGGGGCTTGACAGTTGAAAGGCTGAAGGGCTTATGGGTGTAAAGCTGGAACTCGAGGGCCAAAACCCTAAACCCTAACCTGAAACCCAAAACCCTCAAAACCCTAAACCCTCAAAACCCTAAGAACCCTAAAACCCTAAAGACCTTAAACACCCTAAACACCAAAAGCACCTAGAAACCCTAAAAGCCGTAACACCTTTAAAAAAAAACTAAAGACTTTAAACGGGATTACAGGGCTCCTCCCTTTGCTGGACCTTCTCGACCACCCTAAACCCTAAACCCTAAACCCTAAACCCGAAACCCTAAACCCGAAACCCTAAACCCTGACCCTATATAAACCCTAAACCCTAGGTTGTAGGATAACGCGCACCTCTGAGGTCTACAGGATTTAGAATCCGGATTCCTCACGAAGAACCAGCAGGGTACAGGGCTCGAGCGTTCTTAGGCCTACATCGGTCTCCAAGCAAACCCAGATAAGGAAAATACAAAGGTATGTCCACCTCCTTGTAATCGCAGCATAAGATATCCAAAATGTTGGTTTGCCCACTTCCTTGGAAGCAGATCCTAATTAAACACAACTCTCCAATTGAGCCCTGCAATCCTCAACCCTGAACCCCCAACCCCTGCAATGCTTTGGATTCATGGTTTAAAGGGCTTAGGTTTTAGGACTATTGTTTTGTATTTTAGTTTAGGGTTGTGGCGCCCTTTAGCAGCCTAAGGCTAGAAATCCAATAAAAAATAAATTTGCGAAAACATTGCAAAACCAATGGGTCGGAAAATGCAAATACAATGGGTCCGAAAATGTGAAAACAATGGGTCCGAAAATGGGTTTCGGGAAAAAATGTGTCCCAAAAAGATCCCCGACTCAGTTTTCTCTAGCTTTTTGAATTGAAAACAAAAGCAATCCCAAATTCAAACCCAATTTCGAACCCCTTTTCGGACCCATTTTCGGACCCATTTTCGGACCCATTTTTGGACCCATTTCCGGACCCATTTTCGGGCTCATTTTTTCGCATTTTCGGACCCATCTTTCTGGCCGAAACCCAATTAAACTACGCTAAACAACTCTCGTGTTAGGCTGAAGGGGCCGCTGAAATTTAGGGGTTTAGGACGTAATGTCTGTGAGATCTTTGAGCGGAGACTAGAAGTACGCCCGGAGCCTGGCCAGCGACGACGTTCACGGGCTGCTGCCCAAATGTCGGCATCGGCAGCAACGCCTCAAGAAGGTTTCAGGTTTAGAAATTTAGGGTTTGGGTTAGGTTTTAATTTTTTTGTTGGGGGGGCAGGGGGCGGGGGAGGGGGGGGTGGGGGGATTCTGAGGCTTCGGGTTAAGCGCTACGAGATCATGGTTCAAGGAGGCTTAGGTTACAGATGCAGAGTTGTGAGTTTGGTTGGAGGGTGGGCTGTGGGTTTGGGGTTTGAGGTTAGGATGTGCTAAGATTGATTGGTTGTTGATCCATCCACGATCCCGATACCCTAACCTTAAACCCTTAAACCCTGATGAGACCCTAAACCCTGAACCTTAGCGCACTTTGGAGGGATTGGTAGTGGTCGGTGCTGTTTAGGGTTTAGGATTTAGGGATTAGTCAGGTAAGGGGCTCAACAACCCCATTTCCTGCTACTGCCCACTTCCCCTCTCCCCCCGGGCCCCCCCGCCATTCATCTGGCAAGCTACTACATATATACCCTACACAAACCCGAAGCCCTAGGCCCCAAAACCCTAGCCACCCTACACCCGAGCCCTATAAACCCTAAGGGGCTTACGCTCCCATGTAGGGCTGTCGATGCTTATGTTGCGCCCCCCTATATAGATCCTTCGACATTCCGAACAATCGCACAACATCAAATTTCAGGGAGGGGAGTCGCTCGAGGTCACCGCCAGTGTGAAAAGATCGATCCAGGTTCGTAATTGTTTATATAGGCTAAGTGTTGCAAATCATTTGGTATAGCCTTGGGGGGGGGGGGGGGGGTAGGGACCCTAAAAAGCCTGAAATACGAGAAAAAAAACAAAGAACAAGGATAACACACAACCCCGAATAAAGAAGAGCCCTGCACCACGCGCTTTTGCTTATCTCCGCCATCACTTCTTGATGCTGCGGGAAGAGCTTCTGGGTCTCGTTTGCCATGAGGCGCTTGGGGTTTCGGGATTTGGGACCCTAAACCCTAAACCCTAAACCCTAAACCCTATAACCCTAAACCCCTACAGCCCTATAAACCCCAATGCGATGCCTTAGTCGTGCCCAGGCTGCACCCCAGTAACCTTCGGACCTGTGCATTACAGGGGTACCTTCATTCTCTGGCTTCCCGAGGCGTACAAGGGGATCCTATCCGAGAAGAGACAACTGCGTCGGCACGCATCGATTCTAATGTACACGTGCATGCCCCCGGCTACTGAATGACTGTGTCAGGAATAGCGTTCTTTGTACACGTGGAGCAGTTCGAACTTCGGCAGCTGTCCCAATACGCATTCTTCTCCATGTTGTCCTCGCTGACATTGCACAAGCCCTTGAACCAATGCACACAGTATGTCTGCATGCTTCGGTAACGGACAGAGTATCCGGAGCAACGCTCGCTCTCCTCACATTTGACCAGGCAGTCGCTCCCTGCCTTTCCGGAGAAGAGGACGACAACCTCATAGTCTTCATGTAGCCGCCATGGCATGTCAACGGGCATGGCATCCAAACCCGTGCCGACTTCGCTCAGGCCGCACATTCCATGGTGGACGCAAGTAAACTGATCCTCCAAGCTTCCTGCATCCCTCGTGTAGCCGCCAAAGACCAAGAACGCGGCGAGGGCCACGAGAAAACGACACCCGCAGCGGAAAAGACAGTCGCCACAGGAGCAGTTGCAACCTATACTCCCCTTAGAACCTTAACAAAAGTAATTATTCTCAATACCTTCGTGGGTTATATATACACAAAAAAATGATTCCCAAAGGGGAATATAGCAACATCCAGGGTCGATGGTGATGAGAGAATACTCCGGAGGATACTCAGGATCCTCCCTCGGCATCGCTTGAAGAGGGTCGATGGAACAAGACCCTGGGAGCCAGGTGGATTACAAGGAGAATGTCGAGGTCCCGAAACCCTAAACCCTGAACCCAAAGCCCTAAACTTATCAACCCTAAACCCCGGTCGGGTTGCGAAGAAGGAACCAGGAGACACCTTCACGGCGCGGTTGCTTCAAGCTTGGGAAAAACCTGAGCCTAACTCCATGCCTGGTGGGTTTAGGGTTTAGGGTTTAGGGTTTAGGGTTTAGGGTTTAGGGTTTAGGGTTTAGGGATTAGGGTTTAGGGTTTAGGGTTTAGGGTTTAGGGTTTAGGGTTTAGGGTTTAGGGTTTAGGGTTTAGGGCTTCGGAAAGTGTTTGGGTTGGAGGTCTAGACCGAAGACGACCTCGAGCCACGCAGCCAGCAAGAAAATGCATGCCAAGATGACTTGACGTCTTACTATAGGTTTAGGGTTTAGGGTTTAGGATTTAGGGCTTAGGGTTTAGGGTTTAGGGTTTAGGGTTTAGGGTTAGGTTTTAGGGTTTAGGGTTTAGGGTTTAGGGTTTAGGGTTTAGTAGGGTTTAGGCTTGGGGGTTTACGATATTAGGGGTACTTTATCGGGATCCTTTTGATAAGGGGATCCTATACTATTTGGGGGTCCCTGATTATCGTGAACCCCCACATGGACTAACTGCTCCTACACCCCGAAGGACCTACGAAACCCTACACTCTAAACCCTAAACCATAAACCCGACCTGAATCTTGGGATCCCCACAGAAAAGGGAAGATTAAAGTACTGGGCTTGTTACTCAAGGCTGAGAAGGTTTAGGGTTCTCAAAACCCTAAACATTAAACCCTAAACCCTAACCCTAAACACTAAACCCTAAACCCTGGTCTAGGTTGTGGGCCCTGTTTTTGTACTCTCTACTCTCATGGATGGACGGCAGTTAATTGTGCACTGGCCCTAAACCCCAAACCCTACGGGCTGGCAAGGAAACGAGGTTCTGCTTCCGGCTACGCGAACGCCAATAAACCCCGAAAGTCTAAAACTTAAAGGCTTTTTGGGGGGTTTGGGGGGCTTGGGGGGTTTAGGGTTTAGGGTTTAGGGTTTAGGGTTTAAGGTTTAGGGTTTAGGGTTTAGGTTTTGGGAAGTAGGGATGTGTAGGGTTTGGAGCTTACTATAACTCCGAAACCTCAAATCACACATCCTGAACTTGCAAAGCGCGACGGTGGCCCAGGGTTCTGAACACCCAAGCCCCCCAAGCCGCAAGGCCAAGAAGCCCCTAAACCCTAAACCCTAAACCCTAAACCCCAAACCCCAAGCCCTAAACCCTAAACCCTAAATCCTACCAGACACAGAGTTCAGAGTTGCTTTTTGGCGTGATTACTGCGTTTTGAAAGGGTTTACGGTCTGAACCCCGAGACTACACCCTAAATTAGCCTAAACCCTAAACGCTTTGTTTAGCTTCATGAAGATTGTTAGAGGCCCTGACGCGGAGGATAAAAGAAAGGGATTAGGGGCTTTTACTGGGCATCCGACCCATGAACATCCATTAGCTTTAGCACAGTGTCAGGCGCTTTGGTGCTTCAGAATGCTACTTCAAGACCAAGGGTCATGCAAGGTGCCTCCATAAGCCCCACGTTAGGGTCATAAGAACCCCCAGAAGCCCTCAAGAGGGTGGCGGTAAGCCGCCTATTAGGGGTTCCTTCGCGGGTGTGGATAAACCAAGCGTTTAAACCTCACAAGTGCCAGCAAGCCAAAAGGCACGAAACTCAACAGCCTTTCACAAATCTCCCAAGAACTAAGCTTACTGGTCTTCCTATGCAATCCCTGAAAACAAGTAAGGGCCCCGTGCTCTACTTACTTCGGTCAAGGGAATAACAATTAGACAATAAGACATATAACCCAATTAAGGGCCCTTATCACCCTGTCTATAACTTACTTCTCCAACAACCAAGGCAACAAAAAGGTTAAACTTTAACATTCCTACTAAATAAGGAAACTTCCAACTAAAGGCGAAGTAAGGTAACCAGGGGGCCCCTACATGAAGGGGATGTAAGGTGCCTATCGAGGGAAACACACCGACATGACTAAACCCTCCGGGCCGGCCCTAAACTCTACAAAGTGCGAGCCCTCTAAACCCTAAACCTTCAAAACCCTAGCCCTAAACCCTAAACCCTCTAAACCCTAAACCCCAAACCCTCTAAACCCTTAACCCTGAGCCTTCTAGACCCCTATCTTCAAAGCCGTGGCCCCCAAGCCTGCTGCGGCCGTGGCATTGCGATGTGGCGTGGCATCTTTTAGTCCAGCGGGGGGCTTAGGGACTTTCATTGTTGTTGCTTTTGTTTAAGTTTATAGGGTTTTGTTCATAAGGTTGTGTTTTTTAAGGCTTTTTTGTTGAAGTTTGTTTGTTTGCAAGCTTTTCATGAGTTTTTTTATAGGGCTTTTTATCGTTTTTTTTATGAGTAGTAAAAGGGTTTTCAGAGGGTTTCGCGGGTTCAGAGGGTTTGGAGGGGTGAATAGAGTGTACAGGGTGAACGGGCTGGTCGAGTGTACAGTGGTACAGGGTTCACAGGGTTTATAGCCCTAAGGGTCCATGTACCTCAATGCTGAATACTTGGGCCTTAGAGTAACTCCTATATGTTGACTTTGCGGCCCAAGTTTCTGACAATGAGGTACATGGACCCTTTAAATAGGGTTTGAGGTTCAGGGATTGGGGTGTTTGGGGTTGCGCGTTGCGGGGGCCCCTAGTAGCGGCCACGCGGGCCGATGAGATAATACCCTCAACAGCGTTTTTGGAGTGGCTTCTCAAGCATGTAGGGGCCCCTTACTCTACTAACCTTAGTTTAAGGGAGTTGTAACCAAAACAGTAAAGCTTATAAAGCAACTTAGGGCCCTGAGCACCCTATTCTAACTAGGGGGCCCCTACTTGTAGAACCCAAAGCCGCAAAACCCACCACCCTAAACATGTCACACACGTCCGACCGAGCTGTTGTGATTCTGTGAAAGTGACATATATCTTGCATCCCAGGATGCTTTTCTGTTGTTCTACCTGGGACTCTCTTTACCTGCAGTCTTTTGGGTTACCTACTCTACTACTAGGCAAAGCCTACAAACCCTAAACCCTAAACCCTGAACCCTGAACCCTGAACCCTGAACCCGAAACCCTAACCCTAAACCCTAAACCCCAAACCCTAAACCCCAAACCCTAAACCCCATGAGGCAGACTCCCCAGCTCCAACCTGCTGGCCAGGTCGGAATGGCGGGCCGCGAAGCGGCGGACCCGCGCGCAGCGGCGCGCCCGCAGCACGTTGAGGCATGGCTCCAACAGCACCGCGGAGGGGTTTAGTGCCTGTTTCTAGGGCCGATTCTAGGGTTGAGAGTTGAAGTTGAGGCTGCTTGCTTCTGCGCCCTCCTTCAGAGCTTCTGGTGCGACTTGCTTGGTTTGTGGAGGTGTGTGGGCTTCTCAGTTTGCAGCCAGTTTATACAGATCCTCCCTGATAGGGCTGCGGTGCAAGGTCGGGGGTGCGTTTTGGGGTATTCTCTTGGGCGTAGCTTCCTGCTCTGTCTTCAGGGCAAAGATTATGTCCGCTATGAGCTGTTTCGGCCGCAGAATCGTCATGGAGGCGCTGGCCAATTTCTCGCATGCATGAGGGTGTAACCCCGGAATGTTAGCCGAGGTTTCTCACTTGGAGGTCCATGGGTACTTATACCCCCAATTATAGGCCTACTTGTAACCTACTTGCAGGACTTAGGGGGCTTGTAAGTACAGTTATAGTTGGGGTTATTGGTGCCCTGAACCTCCAAGTACTGGCCTATCGGGCCAAGAAGTTGTTTTGGGGGGTCGTGGCTGAATGCATCCCCATATCCGGACCCACAGCCTTGACACGTGAGGCAGACATGCAGAGAGGCCTTAACTGGGTTGGCCTGTAAACCCGTTGAATAATGCTGATACATAGGGCCCCTTGTCAAACCCAGAGAAGGAACATGCAAAATATCCCAAAAGCCAACCTAGGGTTAGTAAGGTGGTTTATGGGGATTCTAAAGGGTTGCTAGGGAATACTAAGCAGACTTACCAAGTCAAAAGGCCTTCCAAGTATGTCCCAAAAGCCAACCCATATAAAACCCTAAACCCTAAACCCTAAACCCTAAGCCCTAAGCCCTAACCCTAAACCCTAAATCCTCAACCCTAAAGGCAAGAGGGTGACAGCACATCTGGCTCACTCACGCGCAACCAGCGCGACGTTTTTCGCTCACCCAAAGGGCTCCGAGCCCAGCGCCAAGGGGTTTAGCGTTTTAAGGTTTAGGGTTTAGGGCCGAGGGTTCAGCGTTCAGAGTTTAGGAAACGATGTCGCAGGTGGGACTGCGGATCAAAGCAGCGCCAGCAGAGAAGATGTCGACGCCGCCTTGCCAGAATGGTCGCTAGGTTAACGGTTAACGCACTTAGGGCTCGTGCATCACATTCGGGATTTATTGCCGGAGCAGCGTTTCTTGTCAGAAGTTGCAAGAACTCGTTCGGGCAGGCTCACCACCCAGAACTCAATATGTAGGCCTTTGTTTTGGGAATCAAGAATCCGCCCTAAAATGCCCTAAACCCTAAACCCTATAAACCCTAAACCCTAAACACTAAACCCTACACCCTACACCCTGAACCCTAACCCTGAACCCTAAACCCTAGAACCTCCTCATGCGCATCCTGAAGTTTTCAGGTCAGCACATGAGGGAACATATAAACCGTTAAGTACGCCTCTTTTTATCGGCAACTTGAGCCACAGTCGAGGGTAAAGCGATGGTATGCACAGCTCGCAAAAGGAGTGTAATTCCTCCATGAAAAACTACACCCCCCTCACCGTGCTTGGCACAAGCTAAGGTGGACAGAGGATTACGACACACCCTTTCGGGTGGCCCATGAAGTCCCACCCGCTATAACCGAAACAAAGGTGAAGGGAAAGCAAAACTTGAGCTATTGTGCATACAAAATGGGCATTCAGCGGCTCCACCACTGCGATCCGCGCTGACTGCTC